GGGGGGGGGGGCACCGACAGGCCTCACTGTCGTAAACACAGGGACAGAGTGAGAAATGACCACAACCAGCTGTCCCGACACAGGAATCACGAGCCCCTTAAACAACTCCTGTTGGTAACTGTGAGCACACAGCTTGTGCAACTGGGCCTGGTGCGGCAGGTAAGCCTGTAGAAGACTTGCGTTGATACCAAAGGTGAAGATATAGCCCACAAACTGGCAACTTTACTACTTTCGGTAAGGGTCACTCATATGACCACCTGAGCTCTGTCAACAGTAAACATCTGTATGCGCACTCTTTTAAGGGCATTCAAACACTACCTTCCATCCCGCAGAACTGTTGCTGTCCCCTTTATCCTTGAAGTAAGGCACCGTTTTGACCATCCAGTCGTATATCTGGGCTAAAGTCAGTCTCTTCTCCGGCGAATTTTCAATGGCTTGGCTGATGAGATCCGCGTATGACTGATTACCCCAGGCATTCCTCCGGGACGAGCCTTTCCTCGGGGTGACCCCGCCCACGCCCGCCGGAGCCCCGCCTTCCAGGATGACGGCCTGCTCGGCCTCGGAATCCATTGGCAGGGGCTCCTGCTTCTCTTCCTCGGTGGGCGGGGTCGCCGCGGCGGACACGCCCCCGTCCGCTCCCTCTTGTTTGACAGTAGAAATATCGGGCCTGGGCAGCGGCCATGTGCAAGATCTGGGCCGGCTCTGAGGCTCAAAGTCCGGATCAATCTCTGCGATTGCTGGTACCTTTTCTTCCTCCATGCCTCCTCTGTGTGCGGTCCTAAATATCCCTTCGTTCTCCAACCTTACATACAATGTCTATACATATACGTAAAAATTAAAAAAAACGAACCAAAAACTAAGTAGAAAACAATGCCTGCAGATCTATATGCGCTCTAAATACAAAACTCTTGATTTTTTTTTAAAAAAGGGGGGTTTTATATAAAAAAGCGTTAAAAACGTATCAAAACAAGCGACAATGAAATAAAAAAACCGCTGAAAAAAAGTTTGTTTTGAAAAATCGTCCGTCGATCGCGTTAAAAAAAAAGGCGATTATGGTTTTAAATGCATCGCAGCCCACCAAATCTAAAAAGACTGACAACTCAGTCTCGACCTCTGTTTATTTCCCTGTGGCTGTGTCAATTAAATCACGCTCTCTCACCCAGACACAAAGCATTTCCCACTTAATGTAACATTAGAGCAGCCGCTAGTGAAGATTTACTATAATCCGGATCTGACAATATAGCGTCATCTAATCCCCCAGTCGAGAGATCAGAACGGACAAATAATCTCCTTAATAGTAAAATCTCTCGGGTTACAGGAGGGCGAGACACGTCTGGTCAGGATTTTAGCTGGTATGAGGGGAACAAAGAGAACCTCATCAAAACATCTGGCCAGCGGTTCGCACGCATCAGACACGGCCCTGGCAAACGACTGGTCCCGAGAGCCTACCTGTATCTAAAGAGCACAGCGGCGCGAAATCTATTATTGGTACCACGGACACAAAACGTGTCCTTAAAAACCTGAAGCCTTAAAGTAATTTCAAAGCATTTTTCTGATGTAAAATTTGATTTTTAGCCAACGACCAAAGAGATCGGGAGCCGATGTGACTAAAACTAAGATAATACAGCCCCCCCGGGGGAATGCACTAGTCAGAGTATTCTTTGAAGAACTACCACGTCTTGCATCTTTTCGCAAAATCTTATATTAAGTTTTAAAGGCTGCTACAACCCCAGCGATTTCTCCCTTTTGGTGACCAGAAACCCGGCGGAAAACCCGTCCCCCCACGTCCACTCGCTTTCAAAGCAAGGATTACTGTACTACAGTAGGTCAGTATTACGCGGGTATGACGGTCTGACAGCTATCAGTTTCCCGTCTCGTAAACAAAGTACTTTCTCCCAAAGAGGAGGAATCACAGAGCCCTTGCAAGGCTCACAAACCGTTCTATCATACTCGAAAAGTCAGCTTCAAGTCAGAGATGGAGAGATCTAAAAGGAAAATACTACCGCTCAGCAGCACCTATCATTTAACCTGCTTTCTTAAAATCCATGCGGCTTTCCCACGCCATGCACGAACGCGATCCTCTCTTTTGTTTTAGAAATTAATAAAATAAATACCAGGAACGCGATCTTGTATTTCGGTGTTAAGTGCACGATTTCAATTTTCC